TTTAGGACTTTGCTAACCCTCTGCGTGTCCACCCTGGTATATGGGTAGAAAGGTACTGCAGAATCAATCGACAGCCCATAAGCTCGGCCGTAAAAGATATATGAATCTTTTATTTGGGCAGGTCACATAACTTAAATATAACTACTACAATAATACTTTATTTTTATTTCTTTTGGTTTTGCCTACCCTTGTTTGCTATAATTAATTTTTTTTTTAATTTAAAAATTCAATACCTCATTTTTTACTAGTAATTGATCAAAAGTCATGGAGCATTATACTAATTATTTCTCTATCTTTTATCTTAAAAATAACAGGTAATATATTTAAAATAATTATTTCAGGTATTGGGATTAAACATAAAACTAAGTCTTCATTCATATTTAACTATAAAAAATGGGTAGGGTTAAGACTCCATTTTCACTAATTAGTACGTACCCATTTTATGATGGAATATTTATTTATTGATTCGGTGAGGAACAAGAAAATCTCACATGAAAGTTTTCTCCCTTCTCTTTCAACCGAATCAGACCCAACATTCAAGGGAAACAGTAGCCGACAATTTCCACTTTTTACACATGAAATAAATATATTAAAGAAATCAAGAAGAAGATAAAAGAAAAACAAAAAAAAAAAAAAAAAAAGAGAATTAGGGATCTTTTTCTTAACGTTTGTGTTACTCAACAACTGCAAAAACAAAACAGCAGCTCCTGTATCCTCCATAAACAGTTAAAAAATCTGTTGTCTGGTCTCAAAAGTGACTCGAGGAACAGTAGTTTGATCGGTCCTAAATATTATAATAGACGAAGAAAACGCTTTCTGGTGGGACCAAATTAATTAATTTTCTACGTTAAAAGCCTAATCCAAAATTCAAAACTGATACTAGCACCTACTCCTGTCGCAGCAACAGTAGACATGATTATATAGTTTTTTCTTCTTTTGATATAGTTTTGTTAACTAGTCTAGTCAAAAGCTTAGCTTTTCGAGTAGATTATTACCTGATCAGCAGCTTATATAATTATTATATATATATATGTGAAGATTGTATTTATGTTACGTGATTTATCAGCACTATCACATACACGGTGATGATGACTGATGTGGGTTGATGGCTAAAAAAGCTTTGGATTTGAGAAGACAGGTAATTTCAGCTCTACAAGAAAGAATTATTAGGGTTCTACCCACCCCCAACGTGAAAACCGGAGCCCCATGTCATGTGCTCTTCACCTCATCCTGTCATTTTTAACCTATCAATATTAATTATCAGATCGATTTGATTGATCTCAAAATTTTACTTTGTGAATGAGCATAGGTGGGATTCCTAAGTTCGTCCGAGCACTATTGGATTAAAGAAATTAAGAAGAAGGAGGTGTATGCAGATATATGTGGGTATATATTATATATACGTATACATATGTGGATTATATATATATATATATATATATAAAATAACTACATAAGCTTAAAAGCAGAACCCCGTCGTTTGTGTGGGAGGTGGGGTTTGTGAGAGAGATGCTTTTGAAGGGGATCTAAATTGAATCTAATTCAAACCTCTTTCGTTCTTTTTTTTTTTTTTAAAACAAAAAAATTCCCTTGAAAAGAAGAGCTCATGATATATAAATAATCAATCCTTATTCTTTTCTCCTCAAAAGAGTAGGAATCCTGGGAGCATGAATAGTTATTTTCCTTCACCTAACAGTGCTTAACCTAAAGATAAAAGGCATTATTATATTTATTCGTACACTAAAAAACCCCGCAAAGATTTTTGTTCTTGGATTTACACACACTCGATCTGCAACTATCATACATCCATTTCGATTTCAGAGGAAGAAGAAGGACCCCCCACTTCCCCCACCATCTCCCTCTCTTTCTTTTCCTGATGACTTTCACCTGACCAAATGTGTGGAGATGACTATTGAGTATCTGGTAAAGTTAGGCAAATTAAAACCAGAATTAAAGAAAGGAAAAGTGAAAACTTTTGCGTATTTTAGTTACTAATTAGTATCTTCTCCTTGCTGGCCTATAAACCTAGGGCGGAGACCCGTATCCTGCGCCAAAGATTAGCTGACTCGCATGACGACATCTTCTTTCCTTCATTCATATCAACGTCACACTTGTTGCTTTCCCATCTCTATTTCTCAATCTCTATCTCTATATATACATAATTACCGTCTTTACGTGACGATCAACAACGGCCCTCACCAAGTTCTGAACTTCAAACTCCAAATGGATCAGGATTACTATTTCTCTGCTACTTATCACAATCCTAACTCATCATCTTCATCTGGGTCAGTGTCATCTTCGGTTACCAACAAGGAGAAGAAGAAGGGTGGTATGAAGAAAAGCAAAGGAGTGAAGTTATCTACAGACCCACAAAGCGTGGCTGCGAGGGAGAGGAGACACAGGATCAGTGACAGGTTCAAGATTTTACAGAGCATGGTTCCGGGAGGGACGAAGATGGACACTGTGTCCATGTTAGACGAGGCTATTCAGTACGTGAAGTTTCTGAAGACACAGATTTGGATTCATCAAAACATGATTAACTGGGTCGATTTAGATGATCCTAGTTTCCTCGTTAATAATGCTTCTCTTCATCCTCACCAGAATATTTATGCAAACCCTGACTTAGATCCTCTGGTTCAATACTCCTCGCAGCTAGCACCATTGCCAGATTCGTGCTTCCAAACTCATCCAAACATTTCTAATTATGATGCATGCATAAATCATTAGAAACCATTAAGTTCTGGGTCTGTCAGTATGGGTATGGGTATGTGTATGCGTATGTGGGCGTTGTACAATTAGGTTTCGTCTTTATTGATTAATTCAGTATTATATATGTTGGGTCAGGTGTAATGAAAGCATTATTAGTCAGAGGTTCGGAACGTATGCATGGCTTATATATCTCTTAACTAATGCGCGAATCAAACTAAAAAGTTGTAATAATAATTAGTGTCTTGTGACAATTAAAATATCAAAGAAATATATACATATATATATATATGTGTGTGTGTATTAGATTCATTAGAATTAATTTGAAATGGATTTTTTTGAGTTGCTGAACAAAATCAATCATTAGAAAGCTGGAATTATATAAATCACATTTACAATCTTTGATTGATGTACAAATCAAGGTAATTAATTTTTTTCAGTTTAATTATTCATTTTATTCGCAATATTAGATTTTTATTTTTCAAACGTTTTAACTAACTTTTTTCTAATTAAATAAAAGTTAATTAATTATTTCTCATTTTTCAAATATTTTTATACATATCATTTCATTTAATTTACTTTTTATCTGTTTAATAGCGAAAGTATTTATATAACATCAATATTTGCTATATTATTTAAGATTTACATAATATAAATAATAATTAAGAACTTTATAGTACAAACAAAATAACTTGAAAAATTATATAAGTAATACATTCATGGCCAAGATGACCTTTCACCTCGTAAAATGTTCGCCGACCCCGAAGATATAGCGAGAAAGCTCTACAAGATATGGAGCTCAAGTCAAAGACAAAAATGGTACTGGAGTTCCAGTAAGATATTGAGAAAGAAACAAGTATTATTATAGTTACTGCCGACGCGATTCTAATAAACATATGAACATGGTGTTTTGTCCGTGCTGTTTAATATGTTTCTGATTATGATGAATATGTGTTTCGAGAAGGTTGATGTTTCTCGATCAATGAACACCACTTGTTTGTTAAAATTCCTCAACCAAAACGATACTATTTATATTCATAGAAATAAATTTTTCTTAACATGATTCAGTACATAGGAATGAATAATTTAATTTTAATAATTGTAAGTCTTGTTTTTTTTTCTTAATTAACATAATATTAAAGTAATGACTCCAATAATTTTACCCAAAAAAATGTTTTAAAGAGTAAAAATAAGAAAAATGTTAAGGCGGGGGTCTATTGATGATCCGCACGCAGATGATCAGAACCGAGAAACAATGGCGTTTGAAGGTAAACCAAAACTAATATCTACTTATTAATTCGTGCTGAAACCGGGAGTCTGAATTTTTTCCTAAAAATTTTCTGGTTGGATGAATATACGTATCTATCAGGTGATCTCAAAAGTCTCGACATGTTCGAAGAAATTCCTGAATGAAATAGTTTCTGTCGCATTATCATGCTGCGCGGCATAAACACACCCAAACCGGGAAGAAAAGATCCAGTCGAAAGAAAAAAAAAAAAAAAATCAAGATAATTTAAATCGATGTTTTTCTTTTTTCTCTTATCGCCCTTTACAGGGTTGATGCTCTCTCTATCTATGTACAGAGTGAGAAAAGAACGGGAAAAGATTCTCAGGGGAAGATGAGAATGAAGAGGAATAAGAAGAGGAAGATATGGGTGGTGAATCATGGCATGTACATTTGAGGTCATGAATGGCCGTTTTCATGATCATATCAAGTTTGGAACAATGTACGCAGTACCTCCCTTGAAATTCTTCGTCTTCTTTTTCTTCATTGTTCTCATGATCCTTTTCCGAGTCCTCCTTGTTCTCTTCTTGGGGATCTTCCTCTGCCTCTAGCATCCATCTATGGGAAGTCGAGTACGTTAATCCCAATATTGGAAGAATCACTAGAAGGAATCTATCAATACCATCATCAACGCATTTACCAGCTCTCTTCCAAAACATAATTGGTGCAGCAATGGCTCCAGCACCTAGACCATATCCTAAACCAGTGACTATGAACTGCAAATCAATTTTATCTCCTGCCTTTGTGGATTCATTGTTTGAATGTACCTCAGGTGATGCAGACTTGCAAGTCACGTTTAATGGGGATCCACACAATCCTTTGTTCCCTTCAAAGCAAGCTGCTGAAAATGTTCCAAATTGAGCTCCTATCGGGATCCTTCCCGTTAGTTGATTGTTTGAGAGGTTGAGGAACGAAAGAAAATTTAGCCTTGTTAGCTGCGTCGGTATCTCCCCGTTGAGGTTGTTTCCAGAGAGGTCTAGAGATTCGAGCTGTATCATGTTGCCTAAATCTGAAGGGATTTGGCCTGTCAAAGCATTATGTGAAAGATTAAGAACATAGAGTCCTCTAAACTCTCCCATCTCTTCTGGAATAGGCCCTTCAAACATGTTGCTTGAGAAATCAATGACAGTTAAGAGTGTTAAAACCTTCTCAAACTTTAATTCTCGACCTTTGCTGGTAACTGTTACTGAGTCCTGATAATAAAAATTGTTGAGTTGCAAGAACTTAAATTGGAGGTGGTCGTGATCTTCATTTACCATTATTGCCTTCCAAGTCTGCAAGCATTTTGGTGGTATAGTACCATTGAAATTGTTGGAAGCTAGGTCGACAATTTGAAGCATTTGCCAAGGACCTGTATTTGATACTGGACAAGCAATGGTGCCATAGAATAGATTGGATCGTAGAACAAGTACGCGCAGGCTGGATATGTTCTTCAACTGGCATGGGAAACTATCAAATATCCTATTGTTTCCCATATCTAACACTTCCAACATCTTACAGTTGGACAGAGACCTTGGGACCGGTCCTTCCAACTGATTTCCGTTGAGATCCAGAGTTTGTAAACCACAATATGCTGAAAACTTATCTGGGATGTTACCTGCAAGAATGTTTCTCCTTAAATTTAAGACACCTAGACTTGTCATTTGAAGTAGGCAGTCTGGTATTGGACCACTCAACTTGTTTCTTGAGAAGTCAAGCACTTGGATATACATAGCCTTGCATATAGATTCAGGAATTGCTCCAGTCAAGCTATTTTTTGATAGGGAAAAGAAAATGGTGATGGAGAGAGAATTTCCAAAGTCAGCAGGAATAACTGAAGAGAAGTTATTGGAGGAGTAATCTACATAGGTTGCAGATGGTGGTATCTTTGGCAGTCGTCCATTGAGCAGGTTGGAATGAAGATCAAGAATGCTAAGAGAAGGAAGATAATAGGGTTCTTCCAAATCCGTGAGGCTGTTGGATGACAGATTCACTTCATTGAGAGAACCGTTACCAATGCTCCAAAACCAACTAGGCACACTTCCAGAAATTTTGTTCTCTGAAAGGTCCAAAGAGAAAAGTTTTGATTGCTTCTTCAGATCAGGAAACACTTTGAGTGAGCAAGAAGCCAGTTTTAATGTGGTAAGCTGTGGGAAGGATGAAATTGTAGAATAGTTACCACTGGCATTGACAATCAAATTGTTGTAAGAGAGATCAAGGTTGGTCAGGTTTACAAGAGTCTGGATCATGGCTAGCTGTATAGTTCCACTGAACTTGTTGGAACAAAGCTGAAGTATATTAAGTCCTCTGAGTTGAAAGATGGACATTGGTATTGGCCCTTCCAATTCGTTGCTGCTCAAATCAAGAGTATCCAGAAGATTAGAAGGAAGACTTTGAGATTCATGTAGTTGACCAGAAAATTGGTTGTCAGAAAGTTGAATCTTTTGCAGTGAGGGAAGAGAAAAGAGAGATGGTGGGATTGTGCCACTGAGCATGTTATTTCGTAGATCAAGATTAACAAGTTTTTGAAAGCCTTTCCAATGAGTTGGAATTGGACCTGATAACAAGTTATGAGAAAGATTTATATAGGTCAGATTCTTGGACATACGAAATGATGGTATTAATCCGCTGAACTGATTGAAAGATAAATCCAAATAAACCAATCGCGTGAGGTTTGCCATTGAGCTAGGAATTGATCCACTGAAACTGCAATTTACGAGGTCTATTCTTGACAGCATTGTAAGATTGCCAATTGAATCTGGTAATTTCCCCGAGAAATTTGTGTAACTTAGAACCAGAGACTGCAGAGATCCGTTTTGGGGGAAATCCAACACAGAGCCTTGAAGAAACTTGTTGAATGACAAGTCAAGAGTCTGTAGCGTTTGTAGTTGAAAGACCCTCCCGGGAAGATTACCCGACAATCCACAACTGCTGAGTCTCAAGGAAATCAAACTTGAAAAATTCCCAAAAAAATCTGGTACTGAAGTTGAGAAGTTGTTGTTATCCAGACGAATGATTGAAAGGTTCCGAAGCTTTAGCAACGATGGATCAATGGGCCCTGCAAGATTGCAGTTGGACATGCTCAACTCTCTCAGATTTGGTAGGGATGAAGATATGGCCTGGCACCATGTCTCCCCTCTTGCTGAGATTCTTACACCATCAAGATAGAGCTCTGTAAGGTCTGACAGGTTCTGAACAAGCATGGTTAGATTTGGGTTCTGAAGTTCCAGTGAGAACTTTCCTAGAAAAAAGGCAGATAAATCAAGGCTAACCAACCTTGTCAAACGTGAAATCTCAATCGGAATTTGCCCCCCGAATCCAGCGTTTGACAAGTTCAAATAAACAAGATTTCCTAGCATGCCAATCTGGGTTGGAATTTGAGAACGATTGAAGTTGTTGAACCCCAAATTCAGGCTCCGGAGATGCTGAAGATAAAAAAGACTGCTTGAGTTGTCAATTACGCCGGCAATATTTTCCGTACTGAGGTCGAGACCCGTGACTCGACCATCTTCATCGCAGCTTACGCCATTCCAACTGCAACAATCTACGCTCTGGATCCAGTTCACCAATTTTACAGACGATGCAGGACTGAAGTTGAGGCTGTTCTTGAGTTGGAGCAACAAGGATTGCTGATCACTTTGACATTCAGCAGAAACCAAACTTATCTCGGTGCAGAATAAAACTCGGAAAACTGCTAACAAAAGAAGCCATAAATAGATCGTAATTCTCATTGGTAGCAATATAGGGAAACACCCATAAAAGTGAGAGATGAATAGATTACAGAGTGAGTAATAGGTGAAGGAAGGAAAAGACCCATTAACATAAAGCTTATGAGCGATTGATTTCCATCAGAGTGGCCAACCAGAGGTAATTTTGGTTTGGAGAAGAAGAGGAAAGAGAGAGGGAGAGTCAGCAAGAAAAGAGTCGTCAAAATAAACCGCGTCTTATATTATTTTCGTTTATTGTTTTTTCGTCTCTTGCATACCAAGGAAAAAATCAAACCGTCGAGTTGACAATTCTTATTGTAGGTGAGGAGGAATCAGAAGTTGTTGATTGGAATTGGTGTTTAAGGAGGTGCAATAAAACCTACCATTCACAAGTAAGTCTTCCGTGTACAATTAAGTTCAGTTTTTTCCCACTCTTTCTTCAGACCTTTTTCTTTTCTCTTTATCATTTTTCTTTCCTGGTTTGAAGACATCCGTAATTTCATTTGCATCAGGCTTTTTATTAGTGGGCGCCCCAGTGTTTTTTTTTTTAATTTATATTTTTTAATAATCAATTTGTGTATACCCATTTGATAAATAATATTTACTAAAACATTGAAATTCCCAACAACAAACAAACAAAATATATATATATATATATATATATATCTCAATATGGTTTTATATATGAATCAAGTTCTAATTGTAAATATATATATATATTAATTATAAAAAAATAGATAATCAAATCTATTTCTCGATTCAATAGAAGCCCAAAAGAGGTGAATAGAGTCCCAAATAACGAGAGATATGTAAAAAGTAAGTCCGATGCATAAATTAGGGGAATGTTACCATGTCTCTAAAAAGTATGGTGTCTCCATAATTCAAAACTTTAGAATCAAGTAGAACAAAATTATAGTCATTGAAATTCTTTTTACTCTCTCTCTCTCTCTCTTATTGTCTAAAAGCCATTTTGCCTCTAAAGCACGTTATTACTAATAATAAAAGATAAAAATTGAGCTACTTAAAATTGGTCTATCTTTATTGATACAATCTCTTTATATATATAAAGAGAAAAAAAAGAGATTAAGTAAGAAATAAAATTGACTAGAAAATATATAAATTAAGTACATGATTATAAGAATCTATTAAGGAACATAATATGCCAAAATCATAAAATTAACATCACCATAATTAGAGTTAATTATGTTGACATCTCCCTTCAAATTGATGTTAGGTGTCAACAAGTATCAATTTGGAAACCAAATAATGATGAGGAGCATATGTCATGGATTTGGTAAGCAAATCAACAACTTGATCTTGAGAAGGCACATGATGAAGTTGTGGAATCTATTATTGTACAAGTTTACCAATATAATAACAATCCACTTCAATGTGTTTTGTACGTTCGTTGTGAACAGAGTTAGTAGCTATGCAAATAGCATTAATATTGTCAGCATAGAGAGATGTAGGCTTATCATAAGAAACATGAAAATCCAAAAGAAGTCGACAGAGTCAAATAATTCTAAGATGACATGGAGCGGTATTCTACTTCAGTTGAAGACTTAGCAACACGATCTTATTTCTTGCATTTCCATGCTACAGGTGTTGAACCGAAAAAGACACATCAACCACTAATAAACATCGTGTATCAAGGCACCCAACATAATCAGTGATAGTAAAGGCAACAAGCTCCATAGATGAAGTGGAAGAAAAAAAAAAGAAACCTCGATCCATTGTATCTTTTAGATATTAAATGATTCAATTAAGAGAAAAAAGATGTAACTTGTAAGGATCTGAAACAAACTTACTCACAAATTGACTGCATAAGAGATGTCAAGACGAGTCATTGTAAGATATATGAGACTACCAACAAGACGTCTATAAAGAGTAGGATCAAATAATGTTTGACTAGCATCCTTTGTTATTTTAAAGTTGAGCTCCATTGGTGTAGCACAAGATTAGTTGTCAGGAAAATTGGTCAATTTAATCAAATCGGCAGTATATCTACGTTGACATAGATATACACCATCCTTAGATTGTGAAACTTCTAAACCCAAAAAATAAGTCAATTCTCCAAGATCTTTTATGAGAAATAGGGATTGAAGAAGTTGTTTTAACTTATCAATACCATGTTAATCATTACCTGTGATAACTATATCATCCGCATATACTAACAAAATATTGATGCCATTAGAGGAATGAAAAGTGAATAATGAGTGATTATTGGAACTTTGTTTAAAACCAACTCATTTAATTGTGGATGAGAATTTTCAGACCATGTACGAGGAGCTTATTTGAGTCGATAAAGAGACTTGCGAAGCTTATATACCAAATTTTGATTAGAGAGTGGGTAGCTTGGTAGAGGTTTCATACACATAGTTTCTTTCAAGTCACGATGTAAAAAAGTATTTTTTTATATCAATTTGATACAAATTTTCAAACGCAACAGACAACATAATTCAACCATAGTCATCTTAGCAAGTGGAGAAAAAGTCTCCTCATAATCAATACCATATTCTTGTGTGTATCCTTTAGCAACCAATCTAGTTTTATACATGTCAATAGAACTGTCAAGCTTGAGTTTAACAGTATATACCCATTTACTACCAACTATTGAGCATCAGAAGGAGCAGGAACTAAGTCTCAAGTTAGGTTTGTCTCTAGAGCCAAAATTTTCTCATCCATGGCACTTTTCCAACATACAATTTTTACTGCTTGCTTATAAGTAGAAAATATGTAAATTGAATCAAAAATACCAAGATAGATAGTGAAAGGATCATATCGTTCTGGAGAATAACCGTACTGATTTGGAGGCTACCCAAAATTAAAACGAGTGGACCAATGTGGTTGAGGTGAACTAAGAGAAGGTGATGATGGTGATTGAGGAGCTAGACCTTTGGGTAGATGATCAAGTTGAGGCATTGAAGAATTTTCACTTCTCCTAGATGAATTATTTTATAAATTACTCTCAAAATTAATACAATCATTTGAAAATGAAGGCATAAAAGAAATAGATTCATTATGAGAAGTTATAGAAGAAGGAGAAGAAAAATAATACATATTTTCAAGAAAGGTTACGTTACAAGAAATGCACATTCTTTTTCCTGTAAATCATAACAAAGATAACCTTTATGTTTGTCACTATAACCACGAAACACACATTTAGCAGACTTGGGAGATAACTTTGTTCGTTTATACAGAGGCATTAAGACAAAGGACACACAACTAAAGACTCTAAGATGTGAGTAGTTAGGTACTTTATTGTACAAACAAAACGAAGATGTTTTATTTTTAAGCATAGGTGTAAGTTGTCAATTGATAAGGAAAACAGCTGTATGAATAGCTTCCACCAAAAACTCTGTGGGACATAAGAACCGAGTAAGAAAGTACGGGCAATTTCAACAACATGTCGGTGTTTTCATTCAACTACTTCATTTTGTTATGGAGTTTGGGGACAAGATAGTTGATGTAAAATTCCCTTTTCTTGAAAAACAATAACAAGTTATGAACAACAAAATTCTCCCCCAGAGTTAGACCGAGAAGTCTTAATGAGCTCAAATTGTGTTTCAATCATATTGACCAAGGGTTTTATTATATTTATAAGATCAGATTTAGTACACACAAAAAATACGTAAGTAAAACGTGTGTAATGATCAATAAATAATATAAAATATATATAACCCAAGCTAGAGAAAAATGGTGATGGTCCCCATAAATCAATATGAGCAAAATCAAAAGGTGCATCAACATTAGAAGAACTAAAAGTAAAAAATAACTTTGTAGTTTTACCAAGAAAATAACTGTCACAATTAAACTTCAAAAAAATCTGTCAACATCTAATGAAAATAAAAAACACTAGAGTAAAACATATGTTTAAGTCTATTTGCATTAGGATGTTTAAGGCGTCGATGCCAAAGACAACACTTTTTATTATCATTGTTTGAAGAAGAAACATAACAACAAAAAAAAAAGATGCATGATCCTAGTAATATTGATTATCCACGTTCAAATGAAATAATCTTCCTTTTTTATGCCCTCTCCTGATCACCTTCCATTGTGAAGGTCTTGTATATAACAACTACAGGAGAAAAATTAACTGAATAATTTTGATAAACTAATTGACCAACATAAATTAAATTTGCAGTTAAATTTAAGACATAAAGAGAATTAGAAAGTAAAAGGATTTATTTAATGAAAGTGTTACTGTGCCCTTGATAGGTAATTTTTCTTCATTAGCAACAATAACAAATTGATTTAGTGGATAAGGTTGAATTTTTGAAAAATTGTGTTTATAGTTAGACATGTGGTTAAAGGCTACAGAATCAAGGAACTAAAGAGATGAATAACTGATTTTACCTGATAAAACCAACAACATAAAAAAAAAGGAAATAACATCTGGTAGAGTTGTTTGTAAGGTAGTTTGGATCATCTATTGTATGATTTCTCAAGTGATGCTCAAGTTACTACTAGAGGAACCACCAGTCTTGTCATGTTCTTCACTCAAACCATTAGTGAAAATGCATATTGATCTTCTTGTTGTTCTTTTGCAAGAGTCGACAACCAAAAAATCACATGTCCCTTCTTCTTACATTAGTTATATTCATTCTTCTTCTTCCAACGAGATTGTATGCGTCCAATTCTATTACAAATTGAACTTTGCTATAATCTCCACTTGATTGCTTCATTTGAGGCCTGTCACGAGAAACTAAAAAAAACATATCAACAGAATTAGTTTTAGCACCCAAAACAGTTTAAGTGTGTAGTTTGGTTTTCTCACGAAGAAAATCACCTAAAACTGAAGCAATATCTATTATTCATCAATTTATTACATTGGCTCTAACATTTTCATACTTAGTTCTGAGTTTCATGAGAAACTGTAGTACTCCACTCCTATCTTTCTCTTTCTTTAACTCTTGGTAGGCTGACTTCTCAATAAAATTTAGAGACACCATATCTAACTCAGTCCATAATCCCACCAATTGAACATAAAAATTTCTTATATCCCAATCATCTTGATTGAGTTTAGCAATAATATATTCAATTTTAAATTGTCTAGCTTGGTTTGTTTGGGAATACACTTTGTTAAGGTGATCCCATATTGAACTAGTAGTACAAAAAGATCTCAAACTCAAAGTAATATCTTTCTCAACAGAATTCAAAATCCAAGTAATAATTTTAGCATTAATTGTTCATCATTTTTCTTTTTCTTTATTATCAATAGGTTCCATCAATGATCCATCTAAAATTCCATTTAATTTTTTTCTTTCTATAAACATTCGAAAATAAAACTCCAAAACAGGATAGTTTTTTCCATTAAACTTAATAGAAATAATATCATATTTTGTAAAATTCATGAGATGGTAAGAGACAAAGTATATATTATACATGAAAATTTGTTGAAGTGGAAGACGAACACCAAAGTATGATTGCCTATAATAGTCGAGAAGCCAAACCAAAAAATATTTCTGACGAAAAAAATTCAGATTATCATAAATTTGATACCATTATAATAAAAGAACAGAAATTGAGCCACTGAAAATTGATCTACTTTTATTGATACAATCTATTTATATATACAAAAAGGAAAAAGAGACTAATTAGAAAATATACAAATTAAGTACATAATTGTAGGAACATATTAAGGAACATAATCTGCTAAAATTATGGAATTAACATCACCATAATTATAGTTAATTATGTTGACAATTATAATTTTTTCAATACTAGATGAAAACTTATTTACCAACATATTGTTTCATTTCTGTTGTAGCGGCAAGGGTTGGATGTAATTTATCGTATGATTTTAATTACTGAAAGAAGAATATAGAAACAGTGACAAGGAGAACTTAAAGCTACTACCAAATGAAATGAAACTTTTTTTATATGAAACAATTGTTATGTTAGTTATCAACATTATAGTTTCTTTTCTTTTCGAGACTTAAAAGATTCAGTACCAATGTAGTCAAACATGTTTAGTGTCATCCATGGGTAAAACTTCAACAGTTTCATTGGAAGGAAAAATAGGATTCAAACTAATATCCATATGTTTCAATATTTTTTTCACAACTTTCTGCCCCATTTATGCTTAATTTGAGAGTGATTTATGGTTTTGGAATTTTGACAA